TTGTTAGTATTTAGCTGTTGCATGATCTGGTTTACAACTTCGGGGGGAAAAAAAGGACCTGGTCTTCGACTGACCACCGTGGCCACGATAGCCTTTCACCATGTGTACGGTGACGAGTATAATTCATACTTGCCACCGCACGAGCCGCACAGCCGTGCGGTGCCGTGCGGCGCACGTGTATATAATTCATACTTGCAACTGCACAAGCCGCACGACATGCGGAACCTGCCCGTGCGTGCCACACAAGCAACAATTTTTATTTTATTTTATTTTATTTTATTTTATTTTATTTTATTTTATTTTATTTTATTTTATTTTATTTTATTTTATTTTATTTTATTTTTTGCTGTTTTCATGGATGCAGAGGGGTGTACTCCCTAAGGAAGAGATCAGTCGAGCATCAGAAATAGCTTAGGCTCAGAAACACCGTCAAATTATAGGGGTTTGCGACATCGGTCTTGACCATTAGGTGGCGACATTACTCTCCTAGCGTGCTTTTATTTCCCTTCTTTTTCATGCTCATTGCTCACATGCTGTATGTGCCTGAACGCTGCACGGCATACGTGCACAATTGCCCGGACGGCATGCGTTCGCATGTATTGTATAAGTACCCATCCTCAGCTGCCAAGTTTGACACCAAGACAGTGTTTTCCCCAGGGACCAGACTCAACCTGGGACCCCCAAGGACAGACGTATATTCCCAAGCTCCCAAGCCCACTGCACTTTTGGGGCCTCACTTTACTACACAGCAAACTGAATGCATCTGGACCTGTTATCTGTTCTATATATACCTTCAAAATGCCCGATCACTCGGCTTCTCTCTGGTCTAGGCTGCAGTCCATATACTTGTCGAATGTGGGGTAGTGGGGGAAGGCCCCTTGAACCACCAGCAAGTTTCCCCGCTTGGGATCGGGGACACGGCGGTTAACATGGAGACCCGATTCGACCTCCGGCGCCGCCCACATCCCTCCGCCGTCCGTGGCGCGCAACGCCCGCAGCCAATATACCAGAAAGGTACTGGCGGTTTAAGCAACCGGCCAATGTACGCGAAAAGTGCTGGCGGTTTAAGTAAGCGTCGGTCCCGATAAATTCAGACTGAGACTATGGGGCACACTCCACTCCACTCCACTGCACAAACTTGTAAAGGTATCTGGATAGAGCGCCGGTCCCGATAAATTCAGAATGTTAGATCAGTCTGAATGTATACAGTCAGCTGCTCTGTCCAGATACAAGCGAAATTTTGTGTAGTGAGCCAAGCCCTATCTGGTTCAGATAGACGGCATGAGCTACGAGAATGCCCACAAAACCGAAAGGAAGGGGCTAACGACAACAACAAACAGACCGTTCCGTTTTGTTCACACCTGCATCGACTCGTTAGGCGACAGAACCGTCAACAACGGTCTGCAGAATCCCACATACTCGATGCTCCCACTCCTTTTGAGTCCTTTTTTCAGGGGGGGGGCGGCAGATTGCCCTGTTCTATTCGGGGGGAGACGCACGTGCTGAGAAAGGGTCCAGCGTCCCTTGTGTGAAAGCAGACAATTTCACCGGACCCTTTTCCAAGAAAGGAGATAAGGATCATGGGGAAAAGAAGGCATGGAGGATGATGTATCAGGTCGTTAGTGCACGGATTTCACCTTATCAATGATGCGTCAGTGTTCGTCAGGTTCAAGAAAGGAGATAAGGATGGGAAAAGGAAGGCATGGAGGATTCTTGTGAGATTTGAGGGTTCGTATGACAATAACCTGTCATTGGAATGTACAAATCTCCCTCGGACAGTTGGGGAAATTCTTGGGTTGCATGATGAAGGATTTAGGACCAAAAAAAAAAAAAAAAAAAAAAAAAGGATTTAGGACCACCTCGGGGGATTAGGTGTGCAGCAATGAACGAAAACCAGAAATCGGTGGGAAAAAATGGGATAATTAAATTTCGGAATTTACAGGATGCGGTTTCATATTCTAGTAGGCAGCAAAAAAACGGCGGTGATCACTTCCTCCTTTTTTCTCTTTTTTTCTCTTTTGTAAGTTTTTTCTTTTTTAACAAAGACCTGTTGTGCAAGGCCTCTCTATCCCGGTGGTTCTCTCCCGGTGGTGGTAAGAGAACCACCGGAATTGAGGCTTTGCCGGTCGGGCTGCTCCCATCTAATGGTGGGGAGCATCCCCTGCTGGAAACCGGGTCCAGTGTGATCACTTCCTTCTTTCACGGGGCTAAAAGGTTCACAAATATGCCTGGTGCAGAAGGCGTTTTTCCTTTTCCGTTGAAGATTGCGTTGAGATTGAGCGTAGTCAAAAAAAAAAAAAAAAAAAAAAAAAGGAGATTGAGCGTATTCAAAGTAACCTAACCATTCCAGAGCTCTGAAATGTTTCTCGATGAAGTTTGATCGCTTATGGGGAGATTGGGTGAGGTTGCTGACGCGTTGGAACAAACCTCCTGGGCCCTTTACGTGGTGTAATAGATACAAGGGT